GTGACTGTTCATTTTAAAATGAATGAGTACCTCTCAAATAGTACTTTGTTTACGATTTACTTATGACTCCAGTCACCCTGACTTTGTGCCCAACATTGATTCCTTATGCAAATATCTGGGTAATTTTAAAGTACAGAAGCTTTAAAAGAAGATAGAGAAAAAATTATGACATTAATGACCTGGGGTTATGGTTTTCATAACACCATGAACTGAGTTCCTTGTCACAGGTATATGTATTCTATACTTTAACATAGACATCTACACAGATAATACAACACTGTATTGATCAATGGCGAGGAAATTGACTTGTAATATTCAGTACCTCCAAAATTTAACTAATAATGTTTCAGCAGCAGCAGTCCTTGAATTTTTGCCCCTTATGATGAACGATTGTACTCTGAAAGAGACTCCTTGCTTCAACTGTCTATTGGGATTCTAGTTCATTTTAGATCTAATTCCTGACATGCTTCATCACTACAAGATGGATCTCACAATTATTATGTCACAATAATGATGGACCAACACTTTAATCCACTAGGCAAACAGAAACTAATTATTTCATGTCAATCAAATTATCTGTACTGATTTAAGTGTTTATGAAATTTATTTATATTTTGGGATTCTGTTTAAAGATGGAAAAGTATGAATTTATTAAATGACATATTTAAAATAGCTTGATTCTGATTTAATTACTAAAATGGTAAAACTTTTCAGAGCATTTAATTCCAACAAAAATAAAATTTTGAGAATAGATTCTAAATTATTGCATTAGAACAGTGAAGATCAGGCTGTGGCTTTAGATATCTCAAAATCTTGTGAAATACAAGGTTTGGCATGCTAGTTTTCCTCCCAAGCTGAATGACAATGGGATCTCTGGCTGAAATTTTTATTTGATCCAATCTTTCTTAACAAATCATGTATTGAAAGTCGTGTTGAATGCTCACACTTCTAGATCCTTTCAGATTAATGTGGGTGTGCCTCTAAGGCTCTATCGTTAAATCTACTTTATTACTTATCTTCATCAATGACTTTACCCAAAGATATCAGTTCTCAACTCAATAACTTTGCTCATGAAACAACTACTCACTCCTGTCTTAAGTACATTTATTGTAACTGATGAAAAAGACTATCTAGACAGTTAGAATGGTCCTCCTGCATTTCTTTGAATGTAAATGAAATAAATGACGATTAAAAGGAAAACTGGATATTTTTTTTTTATATTAATTTTTTACTGTCAAATGCAACAGTGAAATTTAAAGAGCTAAACATAGTTTATATATTTTATGAATTCTGTTTGTTTTTTTCAGAAATTGCATCATTAAAGATACAAATAAGAAAATTATTTAAACTGTAATATCTATCAGTGAAACAAGTCTGATTTAAAATGGGATTCAACTGGTGATGTTCATTCACAATACAAATTTTGATGTGTTAGGCCCAATGGTTTTCCACACAATGAATGCAGTATACTCTTTTTGATTCACAGAATATTGCTCTACAAGAAGGTGCAATTTTCATTTTTAAGAGTTGAATTTCTCTGGTATTTCATCCACTAAAGTTTTCTGTTTAGAAATCTTTTGTGAAAGACAACTTGAAACATTATCTTAAGCCCACCAAATTAATAGGCATCTTTTTTTCTTTTTATTTTGATATGTGTGGGGAGACACAATTCAGAAGGCCACACAAAAAAAAACAAAAAACACCACTATTCATAACTTAAAAAAAAATAAATGGCCATCATTGGAATCGTGACATAATTTAAAGAGGCATGGAATAAAAACTAATCATCACACGAGAAAGAATTTTATCTTTTGTTTACATACTAATTTTATTAAAATAGCCTTGAAAATAACCAGGATATCAGCAATTGAAATTTAACTATTTTGATATGTTTTCAGTGTAGACTAGGGCAGATTGGGATAATAACTAATAGTTTCTTCTCTCATACTCCTCATCTATGGAACTCTCTTCTGGCTTTTTACTTTCCTGTCAATGGCATTATTGCCTTGCTTGAAGTAAAATGATTTTTTTTTTTTAAATTGTATATTTTAAGCAACAATTTTTCTAACCATTATTTATTGACATGATATTTTTTATTGTGCTTATAGGGTCTTTACTAAACTATATTTAATGCAGTGGATACTAGATGTTTTAAGAAATTCATAAATTAAAAACTTTTTGTGCCTCTAGTAAAATGTTATCATGTACCTGAAAAGTTAAATAAGGGAACACATTTCCATCAAGAATTGCCACTTTTTGAGTTTCTCATGATAGACATTGAATCTTATGCAAATTTGTCTATATAACAAAATGAAGAAAACAATTTGTGAAAAAATATTAATTTTTACATATAAATATTTTTTTTTGATCTTTAAAAGGCAAGATTTTTTTTAAATACGATATGAGGCATTTTTTCTAACATTCTTTTGCTTAATTTCTTTGACTACTTACCGAGATCTGAAAAGACAATACTAATGAAAATATTATTCTTAGTGTAATGAGTTTCTTTTATATAAATATTTTTCACATTTTTCAAATGTGATTGTTTCAATAATGTAAATAAACTCAATTGTGGCTTTGTTTCATTATATTTAAAATATATAAAGTAATATATTGCATAAAGAGATTTGTAGCTAAATTCATTACACGTGTAAGTCAGAGTTTCTGTGACTTGGCATATGTCTTTCAAATGACTTTTTTTTTTTTTTTCCAGAGGCCAAAATATTCTGTTGCAAAATGTCTTCATTTGACTTCCAGGACAGCAAATTGGATAGTGACAAAGAGTTGCAGGCTGCACTCCAACAAGAACAGGCAAAGGCACATTTCCAGAGTCAAATCCATAAACTGACTGACACCTGTTGGGATACATGTTTTGACAAGCCTCGTGATAAAATGGACAGTCGAACTGAGACTTGCATCTCCAATTGTGTAGACCGTTTTATTGACACTTCACTCCTGGTTGCAAACCGCTTCCAACAAATTTTACAAAGAGCGGCTTCACAATAGCCAAAAGGACTCTTCTTCCATTTTAATTTCCTTTCTTTCAACACCATCAAATTTTCTTTCCTTTTTACATTGTTCTGTCAGGAATTTGCTTTGTAGAAAGTTGAATTTAGCCAAAAAAATACCTTTTCAAAATCTTTCTTTACCAAATTCTGTCTTTTGTTGTTTGCCATTTTTCACATTTGTAAAGAATTTAGTAATAAGCTAGGCTCAACCACAGTTTCTATTGCACTATGAATGTCTGCTTTTGCTTGAGTTAGTGAGGGGGGAAATCAAAGGCATTTCTAAAAATACCTGCTGTGAATTGTTATACTATATGCTAATGATCTGCTTGAAGCACCAATTTTAATAAATTGGTCACTTTGAAGATTACTTTATTACTAATGTAATAGAATGTTTCAATCACCAAGGTATATCTGCAAGTGCTGCTGAATTTACTTGTTGGACTATTTTATAATTTGCTTTCAGACAGTTTGCTTATTTTACTCTCTACGTTGCAAAATCAGTTGGCATTCTGTTACATATGTTAACAATATGAATCCTTATTTTCATAATGAAAATATATAAATGTGTATGAAGACAATATAACAAATGAAGCATGTCTTAACTAGATATTGACTCTTTGGTGGGTTGTCAATTTATACATAAAGAAAAAGTATAGTCAGAGCATTTGGGTTTTGTATTCACAATATTCAAAACACAAATAAACTATTTGTAATTATATTAAGATTGAAATGCTAATTAATTTTCTCCTGTTTATCCATATCAGTTTATTATCTTCAGTAAAGTAAAGGGAGATTATTATCTTCAGTTCATGAATTATCCTTTTTCTTATGCTACACAGCACAAGGAAGATTGTGATGAGGCCTTGAAAATTCTTTTAGCTGGAAAATCTTATTGCTTAATAAAAACAGTGATAACATTTTACTGCATGAGAATGCCTAATAAAGACTTAAAGCCAAAATAATTCAAATTAAACTGAAAAAATCTCTGTAAGCTAATTAAGAGGAAAATAAGAGAAGAAAGAACAGATTAAAAATTAAAAGCCATAAATGAGTTCAGAGAAGGCTCTATGAAGATGAACTTCAAATAAACTGTAGAATCCATTAAGATTTAGTAAGACTAGATCTTCCTCAACCTACAGTTGCCTCTGGGGCAATATGATAGATTTATCGTCTTCTGAAATTTCTTAAATTCCAAAGAATCCTTGCTATGTTTATATAAAGTACTATTAACCTCCAAATGTTCATATTATTGCCAAAATTAAGACCAGAGTTTTAGCCACACCACATTCCAAAAAGGCCTTTTTTTTTTTTTTTTTTACTAAACAATGGATGGTTCTTATCAAAGAACATGCAATAAATCAATCCTTACATGAATGAGACAGAGAGAGAAGATAGCTGAGATTAATTTATAAATCAGTCTCCTTTTCACTGCTACTGCCATTAATGAACCCACAGACACAAGCCCAGGTCGACAATACAGTGCCAGGAGCAAGGTCTCACAATTTACTACTTGAATAACATTTTTGTTGAAAATTTATCAACCAGGTTACATAGAAAGATTAATAATTCTTTACTCCTTATGTACTTTTAAATCCTTCAATTTGTTTTCATTAAATCTGTTTTTAGTCAACAGAGCTTGTTCTGTGAAAATGGTTTTCAATAGAAACAAAGAAGTTAGTGGCCACAGAGATTTCATACTTGAAATCCCAGCAGAATCACAATGACCACTGGGTGAAATCCCCATAAAATTCCAGCTTGCTCATGTCTACATGCAGTGGCTGTGAAGATCAAAAACACAGCCAGGTGGCAATGCCAAGAATACTATGTTTTTGTTAGCAGTGGAACAGGGAATGACAGATCGACAAAATGAGTCATGTTAATAGTTAACTAGCCAATAAAGCTAATTCTTGATTTTGAAAGAGATTTCATAAATTAGGTTACTTTTAAAAGAATTTTGACTAGAGAAAAATTTTATTAATTAGAAAATTTTGGTTATACAGGATGCAAACTGCTTTTTTGTTCATAATTTGCATAGAATTGTAGCAAAGCATCTGTGATTCGTGGTTTAACAACTTCCAATGATTTCTGGAAGTGTCTTTGCTGGATTTGGTCAATGTTGATATCTTCTTGCATAGCAAACATAGCAGCTTCCTGGCAAATGGCCGACACCTGAAAATAAGAAAACCTTGTTTAAATAAATGTTTATTTTGCCTATGGAGAAATTAGTTTAACTTAATGAAAAATGATTTTCTGAAGCAATGTTTTAGTTTTGAATTTCTTTTGCTACTTCTTATAAAACTGATACTGAGATGAACTGAACACATTTTGCTTTCTTGATGTAATTCTACAGAATCACAATTCAGAAAATGATAATCTCTTTAACTCTCCAATTGTACCTAACAGCTGATCATTGTTATTTACTACCATTTTGTCCTTGACAAATTTATATTTTAAAGATTTCTACTGTTTCCTTCCACCTACAAGAAATTCAGGTAAAGTATAAAACAATTTAATGTTTTATTTAAGATTCACCCAAGTTTTTAGAGAAAGTCTTGCAAGTTCTACAAACCATTGAGTTTGATTTATAAGAGAAAATTACTGGCCCAGAACCTTTTATTTTCTTTTTTAAATAATTGTATAAGAAATACATTTAAGTTGTTACCTCTGCCCCTGAATAACTTTCTGTCATCTCAGCCAGGTTCTTAATGTTAATATCATCAGCAATTGGCATCTTCTTCAAATGAATATGAAAGATTTCTTCACGAGTAATTCTGTCTGGCAGAGGAACATACATTATACGGTCAATCCGACCTGGTCTAAGAAGAGCCTAAAAGAGAAAGATCAGATACATTAAAGTATCTACACAGAAAAATGATCAAAGGAAACATGCGTTATTCAACAAAAAAGTAAATAAATTGTAATTCATTTTACATTATAGTAATTTTAACTGAAAACAAAAAAAATGCCCAATATTATAAAATCTGAAAGGCAGACTTGGAATTGATAAAGTTAAAATATTTAACTGACTTGATTTTAAAAAGATGCACATTTCTTCAGTGAAGATTTTTTTTTTTTAAGAAAAACAGAATGAAAAACTGGAAACATTGATTTTAATAAAGCAATTTTTATATAAATTAGCTGAAGCATAATTTCTTCCTCATTTCTTTTAAAAACAAGCATGTGCTCTTTAGAAGCACAAATATTTAATATGAACTATAGACTTCACTTGCAAAAGTACAGCAATAAAGAGAAAAGATAATATTATTAGATATGAATAAAGAAATACTTAAAATCTTTTCTCAAATCCAGTTGGGTTTCATTTACTAAATGTGAAACTAATTCTTTGTCTCCTCATTCATCTATTAAAACAAGAAGGGCAAGTCTTTTTTTCTTAAACTCACTGATTTTGTCAAACTGCTCATTGCCTTTTCAAGTGGAATTTTTAACAAAAGGAAATACAAATAATATAAGGAATCATTGCAAAAATTTGTGCCCAATTAGAAAATGATAAAACAATGATCCAATATAATTGATATCAGCTATCAAAATAGTGAAAATAGAGAATTAGCATATCTGAATAAAGATATTGGTCTGAAATCTGCAATGGGGTCAAACAGACATTACATAAAGACTCACTTTGTCAATCATGTCTGGCCTATTGGTGGCAGCAACTACAGTAACATACTGAAGTTTTTCTACACCATCCAACTCAGTTAAAAGTTGAGCCAATACTCTGTCCTCCACATTACTGCTTCCAGCAGAAGAACTGAAGGGGGAAAATAGAAAATATTAAAATCTGATAAATATGAATACTTGGAAATCACATTTACAAATTATATTTAAACCCTTTTTTATTGACATCAATGTGTATGAGATTTAGAGTAAAAAGAAAACTTGTATGTTTAAGAATTCTTCATTTCTTAGCAAAGTGAAACTAACCTGCCCCTCTCCACAGCCAAAGCATCAATTTCATCAAAGAAAACCACAGCTGGGGCAGCTGCCCTTGCTTTTCGGAACACTTCACGAACAGCCTTCTCACTTTCACCAACCCACTTGTTGAATAATTCTGGCCCCTGAGAGAAAAAGTAAATATAAAAGACATTCAAAAATACTTTTTCTTGTATTAAATGTTTGTTGGGGTTATTATTATTTTTGCTTATTTTCTTGTTTTTTTTTTTCTCAATATTCATCATGTAGCAGTACAAAACTTTAAGTGGAACACAAAAATTAAGCAATAAAATATGGTCTTATAAATTATTTCCCTTATACTTGTTGGCACATTTGCATAATCTTACAGTCGGCTCTGGACTGGCTAATCCAAATAATTTTTACCTTTTAATTGGGGTAGTGAGTTTTTAATTTTGAAAATAAAATTGAAAAATATTTAATAATTTTAAAAGTTATTTCACTAATTGAAATGATGATTCCTTTTTCTCTATTATGCAGACTTTTATGTTATAACTGAAAATATATTTATTTAAATTGTTTAGATCTTGCTTTACATAATCTTATTAGGTCCAAACACTATTAAATAGAAGCATAAATTGAATATAAATACTTTTATTCACCATATTTACTCAAAATTATTTAGTAATTAAATAAAGTATTATTTAAAGTTTACATTGCTAAAAATCTAAGCATTATCAACACAAGAAATTTTAACTTATCACTTAGCAAAAGCAAATCTTTTACAACTTAAAGTATAATCAACTTCTGACAAAAAACAAAACAAACTAACCTTAATAGCAATGAAATTAAGCCCACTCTCAGTAGCCAATGCTTTAGCGATCATAGTTTTGGAACAACCAGGAGGTCCATACAGCAAAATTCCTTTAGGTGGCTGGATACCCATTCGCACAAAAATCTCTGGATGTTTTAATGGCCATTCTATTGCTTGTTTAAGTTTTTGTTTCACTTCCTCTTGACCCCCAATATCACACCAGCGGACCTGACAGCAAAAGAATATAATTATTTACAATTCTGTCAGTAACACTCATTATTGGTAACTGTAGTGTAAATCTCTTCTTGATTTTCTATGCACAACTTTTAAATCTTTGTAAAACAAATTGCATAATTCAATATTTTAAGCCCTAATCTTACTCTAGTAATATTCATTCATCTTACCCCAAATCCAACATTCACTAAAAGCAGATTTTGACAAATCCTTTTGAGGATAAAAAAAAGTATTGAATGTACTTTTGAATGTATTTTTTTTTTAGCAGAACATAAATATAAAATCATTTTAATATCTGTCTATTCTTCTGATATAAGGTATTGTAATTATTTACATTGTTTAAAGGGTTTAATTCAAAATTCCAATCACCAGAAGACTGGAGTGTACAACATCCGAGACATTGTGAATATTGCAACAAAGATGAGGACAACAGTCCAAATAATGTAAAAAAATCATTTTACATTAAAATTAATATTATATTCACTTTACATGTTTAGATGTACTTTGGAAAATTTGACATATGCTTTTAGTATTTGTTGTCACTATATATTAAATCGATAAAAGATTTGGCACATTTAATAAATCCTACTGATTATATCATAGGTTACATAAACAACTAGTTTATTAAAAAATATATTTACACATGATAAAAATAATCAAGAAAAATAAACTACTGGACATCTTGTGAAAAAAAAAAAGACATGAAAAATATTAGTTGTAGGCAAAAACTATTGAACACTATTCTTGTAATTAAAGAGCCTAATAAATAGTGTTTAATATTTTTGTTAATTCAAGAGAAAAAAAGTATAAATCCAGATTCTCCAAAAATATGTTACTGATAAATTGTGGCAAGAGCAAATGAATGAAATGACCCGAAAATGCATTTTTAAAAAAATTTATAATGACAATTTCTCATAGTAATGTTAAATTTTCTTGTTCTTTTGTTCAGACATTTTAATAAATTTATAAATAAAAATATTCATTTTTATAGTTATTTATTTCTGATATGGTAAATGATAAATCTACATTGCAGTTGGTTCATATATTTTTATAAACTTGTAAATATAAACTTATTCTTGTAAACTAATAAAATCCTTTTGATGTCATTTCTTGAGAAAAAAAGAATATATAAATCTGGTTTTATTAAAATTCTAAATATAGCTTTTAAAACATTAAAAATTGCTGTGGGAGTTTATAGTAATCATGGTGACAAGAGAAAAACGTCCTTCTTGCACACTGTTTTTATAGGTATGAATGTTGCATTTGACTTAAAAACAAAATGATAAAGTATAAAATTAATAACCTTAATTTTGTCTGTTTTCTTTTTTTTAACACAGCATCAATCATCAAGAATTAGATAAAAATCAAATTTAATCAAACTAGCCTAGAAATATTTTAAGAAAACATTAAATGATTCTAAACTTTTTCAGATAATTGCAAAATATGCATTAATAAAAAAAATATAAAAAATAATTTACTATAAAAAATAAATTTCCTGAAAATTTGTCTGACGATCGCTAAAGCGTGAAACCCAGGGTCACAAACTCACATCTATCCAACCAAATATGTTAGCTCTATCTCTGATATTGAGCGCTTTCTAATAAGTACCGCGCATATAATATATAAATAATTATACATATATATATTTATTTATATACACTTTTCACATATATATATATATATCTCCAAATGTAAAACAACAAAAAGAATATGAATTCAAAATTCAAACGTTCATAACATTAATTTAAAAAAGGGCTCAATTCAAGAGTAGAGCAACAGATATTTATTATAACCTGTTACATTGGAACATGCGAGTTAAAACAACAAAAATGCATATTTGTTTCGATATCTAATTAGAACATCTCATCAGGTGGTAATAAACAATTTTATTTAAAAATACAGTTTATGAAACATCACTTCTTTTTATATTTTTGAAAATTTTACATAGACATCAAAGAAACAAATATATAAAAAAAAATTTTTCAATAAAAAGAAAAGAAAAAAAAAGCAGATTAAAGTAAAAAAGAAGAGAAGAAATCAATAAAAAGAAAGAGGAAAGAAAAGAAAGGCATAAGAAATCAATCCTACTACAGAGAGAAGGAAAGGAAAAAGGAGAGGAGTATATCCAAATTTTACAAATGTGAGAATTTGTTGATACCAGTTTAGCCAATGAAGACGTTAAAATGCAGAATTCAAAATTAAACAAAAATATAATGCGACAAGATAGAACACTGTAGCATTTCAAATTTTATGGTATTTTTTTAATGAAATCACATTTAAACAAAATTAAACATAGTACATAAATAAAAGACACTTTAAGAAGAAAAACCATATAAAAACAAAACAACTACATAATTATACCAATTTTACATTAGAATACAAAATAAATTTTAAATATTTATATGACTTTTATATATTTATTTATTTCAAACTACTATCAAATAACAACATCAGTAAAATAATTATAAGCCAATCCATGGCTAACCTTACTACCAGTAATTTACAAATACTAACCTATTTAATACCTTAATCTAGAATAAACCACTAATGATAACATTAAAATATAAGGGTAATATATATAACATAAGAGGAATGATTGAGTTATAAAGTTTAGCATAATTGTAAGGTTAATTCTTTAATATTCCTACAATTTACCATAGTTTCATATCTCTGATTTAATAATTGATTCAAGAATTTAATTATATACATTTTCTCTTATAGATAAAAGGAAACATGGTTCTGTCATGGCTCTACAGATTCTGGCTTGTTTGAGTATTTTCCATTTAACTTCAGGTGTTTTGTTTTCCTCTTTCAATTTCCAAAAATATTTAGAAAGTGAAGTCATATTTTGTTTGTCAGCATTAGTAAAGGATGGGAGATGATTATACAAACATATTTTAAAAGTATTCATTGTGCTACCAATATATATTTTAACAATCCTTGGATTTTCGATTGATGAAATACAGACCCATATACACAAGGGATTTTGTTAAGCACTTGTTAGATAAAGGACATTGGTCAGGATTCCTACAATTACATAGGTTAGTTATATGAGACAAATTAGAATCAGTACTAGCATTACAGTTAATATTGTTATATAATTTCAAAGTTTTATTGTCGTGTGATTTAATTATTTTCTCTAGATTATTAGTACCACTAGAGTATTCTGATTGAAAATTTTACTTAATGAATTACTTTTAGGAAAATGTTTATCAATTAAGTTAAGAAACTTGTGTCCCAATTTAGTACAAACTGAATTGAATGGAGGTTTATACCATATAATCTTCCTGTTTCTGTTTTTCTTTCTGGAACAACCATAATCTTCTACAAACTTAATTTCAGAAGATCTGAACCCCACTAAGAATTTTATTATGAACCATTTTACGTTTCTCGAATATCTCTTGTTAGAGGAGTGTTGGTTAATACGTTGTTCAACAGATGATGGTATATGTTGGATTACAGATGGTGGATGATTGAAGTTAGGGTGGATTGGCACTGTTTTTCATGTAAAGCTGAAAATTATTGAGAACTAAATTTAAAGTTACTTCTAGGAAATCAACTTGTTTGATATTGAAATTAATTATTATGCTAAGATTAAAAGATACTCTATGAATTAATTTTCTAAGTTTATCAACTTTACTTCCAGTTGAGTTATTTACAACCATGAGACCATTGTCCCTATACAGCACTATACTATTTAAATCAATATCTTCATACGCTGTAAAGTTGATTTAGTTGGATTGTCCTTATTGCACAACCTTACAGCATATGAAGATATTGATTTAAATAGTATAGGGCTCTATACTCTGGGAGTAAAATTGATAAACTTAGAAAATTAATTGGTAGAGTATCTTTTAATCTTAGCGTAATAATTAATTCCAGTATCAATAAATAAGTTGTACAATGTACAGGTTATATATATATATATATATATATATATATATATATATATATATATATATATGAAAATTTCTCAGAGTTAACCTGTAGAAAAGACAATATTTATAAATATAAATGACAATAGGAAAACTGTAGTTATTTGCTGACACGTTTAGTCCAATGTGGACTTTCTCAAAGCAAAAAAAAAAGTCCACATTGGACGAAACGTGTCAGCAATAACTAGTTTTCCTATTGTCATTCATATATATATATATATATATATATTATATTCCTTATTTCAGCAATAGTAAGTCTAGAAATTATAGAATAATCTTTATAATATTAAACATCAAAGTACACTGGAAAGAGTAACCAAAGCAACATTCTGCTATATTTACTATTATGACTTCATAAAACTAGTAAAAAGTACACACTCAGTTATAAAGAACAAAAGTGATGAATTATAACCTATAAAGTTATTTCATTTCGCTTTTCAATTTCTAAAAATAAAATCAAGATCTCATAAAAAGGCAAAAGAGAAAAATCTGTTTACATTTATAATGAAACACTTTTTCCTTTTCTTTTTAAATTGGAGGCTGGTTATTTTTATTTTCAGTATTCTTGTAATTTGTAGATTTTTAGTTTTACAAGTACACTGATTAATTTTCCAAATCAAATATAGCTTTCTTACCTGAGGTACTTCAAGCTGAACTTGCCGCATAGCACTTGGCTGAACCATATTCAGGCCATATGTCAAATGGTTGTCAGTGACCATAATTTGGGATTTGCTTTGTGTTTTAATTGCCTGAAGATTTGCTACATGAAAATATAAATAAACAGCAAAATAACTATTTAAAAGAAAGCAAAGTTATAAAATTTATATTATTTCTTATTTTGTTTTTAATATTTTCAAAAACAGATTGTGGAGAAATGTGTTAAAAGCAATTTTGCATGGAAAGCAGAAATGGTATCCATGCTCAATTTCCTTCTTCTTTTAAAATATTAGGAATAAAAAGATACATGCTGCTGACAATGATTTCACTTAGCATATTCTTTAAAAACAATATCAGGTTTGGTTTAAAAAAAAAATAAAATCCTGTGTTAAAATATGTATATCTGCCATTGTAAGGTATTGATATGTCTGTTACCAGGTCCAGCTTTTAATATTTCCTCCCGAATATTTGCATTAAAACTTCCTCCCGACTACTTTTCTACATATTAAAATTCAAAACTAAATATTTAATATAATAGGATACATTCATAATGAAAAACTGCTTATCTATCAAGAAAACATTTTTTTCATTTTAATAAGTCCATTTTTTCAAGCTTTTTTAAACAGTGTTTTACTACATAACTCTTTCATAACTATGAAGGAGTTTATGTTATTATTGCTTTTGACCTACTTAACAGATTAATACCTGTGTATTTGATAGGAAAAAATGTATTCTTTCACATCTTCCAAGTTATTCTGAAAAATAAATCATGTAAAATTTGTGTTCAAGACAAAACCTGTTGATTGACCTACCAGAATAAAGCAGCAAGAAATATGTCAGTTAATTTTTTGTTCACAAGTTTATTTTAGCCCTCATATATCTGATAACTTCTACTGTTAAAAAATAAAGCAAATTTATGCATGATTTACCTACCTAAAGAAAAAAAAAAGAATTTTACAAAAGTAAACGGTATGTTACCAACTTTTTCTTTTCAATAAAATACTGGTTATCTAACAATTTAAAAGCATTTCTTTTTTCATAATGATGATCATGATATTCTAATGGTAGAGAAAATTAATTTTAGAATAATGACAATCTTTTTTGCAATTTCCAATTCCTTACCTTCTTTACACACAGCTAACAGATCAGCACCAACAAACCCATGGGCAGCATCAGCTATTCTTTTCAATTCCTCTGGTAAAACTGTGTTAGGAATGTTTTGTAAGAGTTTCTTAAGAATCTAGAAAAAAAAAAAAAAAATCAATGATTTCATTAATGTTTCCTTTAATTATGTTTTCCAATGCAGAGCAGAGATATATGTTTTTTTGGATAATATTGTATATAAGTGATTCCAAAAGATAACAATAATTGCAAAAAGTTTCATAATGTAAGTTTTACATAAGTGAAAAAAAATACCAATACATTTGCCTGCTTGTTAGTGCCATAATGACCTACATATAGATGCTAGAAGCAGGAAACCTAATCTGAACAATCATTCTTTATTTTGGGATTGAAATTTTTCTTGCTTAAACTCATACTTTGATTAGGTTTCATATTTCTGGAGCATCCAGTATGCAGACCAAAACAATAAGGACAAATATTATAATTAGATTTTAATTAAAATTAAAATAATTTCAGGCAATTAAAATCAGTCTCAAGCTAATGCTAGTGATAGGTTTATGTAAACAGAGATCCACTGTTAGGCAGAACTTGTCTTGCTTTGTGCAAGATTAATCCCAGTCCTGCTTCAACAAAAAAAAAAAATGGTTATGATAATGATTCATATAAATCTTTCTAAATTTTCTTTTATAAATATTTCAGATGAGTCACTTGCTGAATTATAAAAAGATTATTGCTATGCTGCATGTCTCAATGAAGACATCTATTTCTGTTAAACTTTGCTTTCAATCATAGACACATTTTGATTATTTAATGACATATCACAACAGTTTTAAGATGAAACTTATGGAGGATGTTTTTAATGTAACCTACAAAGAATGTATCAGCATTATAATATTTATTATTTTCTATTAAACTGAATGAAAATATTTTCTAAGTGATCACCAAAGTTCTTTAGCCATAAATTGTCATAGGTCATGTATTGTGTCAAGAGGTATTTAATAAGTATTGTAAGAGGGTATTTGAGATCTGAACATTAGAATATATGTAAGAGTATAGGCTTGTATTAATGGGAGATATAGTGTATTAATATTAATAATTAATTATTGTTAATACCTGTGCACACACCAATCAATAGCTGGGATAATTTACTGTAATCAGTCTATATTTCACTGTATGTTAAATCTTGAGTAAATTGAAAAATGTATTTTATTTTCTGGTAGTCTACACTTACATAATCCATAAAAATTGATATTCATAATTGAAGAAATCAGGCTTACATCACATCTGTCCTCTGATGTGGGCACTCCAATCTCTATTTCTCGATCAAACCGTCCTGGTCGTCTAAGTGCAGGATCAACCATGTCTGGTTTATTTGTAGCTGCTACAACTAAAATCATTTTCTCAAACAAGTCCTTTAAAATAAAGTTAAAATAATCAGAGAAAATACAAAATAAAAGTTAAAAAAGGAAATGTTCACATAAATCTTTATTCATAATGTGCAAGCTTTATTAAACTTTGTATATTTGAGATTAACTCATTGTGTATATGCAAGATATTTCTGTACACTAATAACAAATACCTAATTTATGTAAAAATTAGAACCTATGAGATCAAGCAACATTGAAATTCAAATCTTTGCTTGAAATATATAACAAAGGAGTGTTGAAAAGATATTTGGCCAAAGCAGAAAGCAGTTAAAAAAGAAAAAATAATTAATGTTTGCTCATTTGGTTAAATTTTAGGAATTGTGTTCGACTAAGAACTTTTCAGCATCACCTTGCATTTGTTTCATTATATTTCACCTATGAAATTCTTGGTTGTGGCTAAAAAATTGTGCATGTTATCTTTTTGTGTGAGAGAGAGAGAGAGAGTCTGGGAAACACACGCACGTATATATTTTTTTTTTTTTTTTAGTGAAATTGGAGAAGATTTGAATAGCAAAATTAAATCAGAGCATTTTGTTTACTGATGGGGAAATCTGATCTAGGGCAGAAGTTGTACCCATTGAATCTGGGTCATCAGTAAGACAATGGAAATGGTCGAATTAATTTTTATCGATTAAAAATTGAAATAGAGATTAGTCAACTAGAAGGAACTTTGGAATTCACATGATTTTGGTTGAAGCAGTCAGAACCCCATGATAATCGCGTGCGATGTAGTAGGCCCGAGGGTCAGTTATAACTAGCCTGGTTTATCTATATAAACGCGTAGTTATGCTGAAAAAGACAGATGGGAGAAAATTCTTGAAGAGAGAATTGTCCCGGGCGAGCGTTGGGAGGAGGAACACCATTATAACTTTAAGCCCCGCACAGAAATCTTTATCCCTCCATCACAAGAGTCATATATCATTCTGAAACAATTTAACAAGATAATCACATACACTCTCTCTCTGTCTAGAATCCAGTGTATGAGTTTTTTGGAGTTTTTTTTTTTTACTTTTCTTTTCTGTAACCCGTTTCTCTTCTCTACTATTCTTTTCTGCTATATAAAAGACATTACCAATTCAACCATTGAATCAATGTTTGTCCGACTTTCTGCAGATATTCATGTTTTTTTTTTGTTTTTGCTGCATTCTAAATTTCTTAGTGCAAACTCCCCAGCCGTGTGTACATCTTCAGTCGAATGTGAATGGACGGACATCACTTCTGCTTTCTGGATCAAACAAATCACAACATGGGCAGGAAGCAGGATTAAACCAGCGGACCGGTCAAATAATCTATGGATGCTCAGGGGACCTATGGCCCTCCCTTAAGTTCGGTTAGGACCGAGTAGACACCTCAACCCCAAGAGTAAGACACCGGAGGTTGAGGGGCTGGGGTGAAAGTGCTAGACTGGTGCCTGTGACCAGGATAGACTCATGGGAATTACCACGGACGTTTGAAAGAGGAGAGAAGGTTGCATTTGTTTTGTCCAGTCGGGACCATGTAAGACCAGAAAGGACTCTAGTCTTCGGACTATATTAGTCTGAAAGAGACATAAGGAGGAAAAGAGAAGGAAGCAAAAGAAGGAGGAAAAAGAATCAAAACACGGAACAGTGGACCTCAGGTAAGTCACTTTTTGGTTTCCTTTGTTCACTCATTGCATTTAGATCTGCCAGTAATATTGTTGATCTTGTTTTGACTTTGTTGACTTTGTACACCATTGAAGCGCCACCACCGTGTTAAGTATTTTTCCTTTTGTTCTGTCATTGGTCTCTCTTCTCATGGGAAAGTGGTAGTTGACAAGATGCTAGGATGAGCGTAGCAGGATCAGAAGCCACATATGACCTTGGGGACGTGGGAGTCCCCGAAATATCAATGGGTTTCAGGAGGCTGACAGATAGCATGAAGCTACCTACTTATAAGGGAAACCCTGCAGACCTGCACAAATAGATTCTATCCATTCTGAAGAAGCAGGTGATCTATGGCCTCTCAGACCAAGAAATGGTGCTCCTAGCAGCGGGGCTGGTGTCCAAGTTCATAGGGGGGTGGTACAAAGAAAACCCGGCCCTGACGTGGACCGAGCTTAAATCCGGTCTGGTGCGACAATACACAAGTGAGCGTACAGCCATTGAGGCGGTCAGGAAATTATTCCAGCTACAGTAACAAGGAGAGATAATGAGGAATTGGGGGAAAGAATCGTGGGGCTAGCAGCGTTAGCTTTTCTGGAGTTGACGACTCAGGACAGTGGTCCTATTCAGGCCTTGTTGGCCGATGTGTATGTGGACGTGCTAAGTGACAGGGACCTGAGGGGCAATGTTCTGAAGCGGGGACAGGTGAGCCTGGCCGCAGCCATAGAGGAGGCTCGGACCAGTGAATGACTCTGGGATAGAATAAGAGGGGGTGTAGGTAGGAACCCCACCGGGGGGGTTGCAAGATAGTGATGAAAAAGAAGGACCAGGAGCGAATCCAGATACGGGACCCGAAAGAAGAGGACTGGAAGGCTGAGGCAGTTCCCAATAGGAGAGCTTGGGATCTGCGTTATGGGTTTCACAAGCCCACACCGGGCCGATATGGGCTGGTGTGTTGGACTTGCAAGTATGGTGGGCATTGGGCCCGCGACTGTCTGACAAACTATGGAGGCGACCCAGGGTCTTTGGGGCCAGACTGCACAACTTGTGGCAAGTTCGGGCACAAGGCTCGGTGGTGTACGGCAGAGGGAGACCTTAAACTGGGGATGAAGCGAGTTAATACACTGGTGCCCCTTACTGAGAAGGAAAAGGGTCTGGGAAATGCTGATGGGTCACCCGTGAAAAAGTAAGAGGCAGGATGGGCCCAGTGCAAGTAAGACCTCTGAGATGCTGGACATGTGGTGTGGTCGGGCACGTTTCAACCAGTTGTAAGGAGCGAAGGTGTTGCCGCTGTGGAGGAGCGGGTCACCTGAGACAAACCTGTCCTCGCAGGAGAAACAGCGAACGGAACAACCCTAACTCGAATGGAGGGGAGAAATGAGTTGCTAGTCCGAGAAAAGAGGATCACCCAAGCTCTACCCCACCCAGGAGGGTCCCTAGGCAGAAATTGGAGCCTCTAGAAAAAGGTGAACTCTTGTCACCGACTCCCACATCTGTTGTCGAGAAAGCAGAAGGAAGGGAGAGAACATACGGGAAGGAGAAAGGCACAGGTATACCGTTTGCTGAAGGAAGGGCCAGACTTCACATGTAATGTGTTGCTGGGAGACAAGAAGGTGAAGGCCCTCCATACTGGAGCTTCGGTCTCACTGGTTAGCTCCAAGACAGTTGGGACTGAAAACAAAGCTTAGTCCCGTCGATCTACTAATAAGTCAGGCTGATCATAGCAGGATGAGGATAGAGGGTATGACGTGGATACCTGTCCAGTTGACAAGAACCAGAGGTTTATGTGGCACCTGACTTGTGTGGTGAGCTAATTTGGAGGAGTGACTGTCTTAGGCAGAATAAGGCACAAATTTGTTTTGACCCCGCCACCCTAACATTGGATGTGGTAGGGATACTGTTGGGAGAGGATAATTATGAAGAATTGCCAGTGGTGGCCCAGACAGATATAAAGTTTCCCCCAGGATACTGCATCTGGCAAGGGCAAAAATTTATAACAGGAGCGCTGAACAGTGACCTGTACCAAGTGGTCCCTACTGATAGGTATGATGATAGTGAAGGGGAAATAACCATATGTGATTCATTGGTGAACAGGTCAGGGACCGTTCCCTTACTGTTAACCAATACTGCCAATAAAACCATTAAAATAAAGCAGGGAGAGGAGCTGGCACAGGCATGCTCAGTGAGAGAAGTTGAACAGGTGAGAGTATGGAATGAGAATAGGCCTGGGAATAAGACAGGTAGCGATGAAATAAGGGATGAAGATATAACAGCTCCTGAGCGTTATAGGAGGAAACGTTATAGGGGGTTGCTGAACGGTAATCGGGAGGTAATAGCCATTATGGATAAGGAACTGGGACAAACGGAGACAGTTGAAATGAAGATAGACACGGGTAATCACCCACCTATTAAGTTAAGACCGTATAGGACCCCAATCCACAAAAGAAAATTAGTAGAGGATGCAGTGAATGAAATGATGGAATCAGGGATAATAAAAAGATCCAAATCTCCCTGGAGTTTTCCAATAGTGATTGTTGAAAAGAAATGATGGAGGGCATAGGTTCTGCATGGATTTTCATCAATTAAATGCCATTATGAAACTGCTGGCAGTGCTCCTCCCCTTGATTGATGACATTCTAGCTCTTTTAGGAGAGTCTAAATGTTTTTCCACCTTGGATTTGAGGTCAGGATATTGGCAGGTAGCTCTTAGCAAAAAGGAACAGGAAAAGACTGCTTTTACCTGCCACATGGATCTCTTCAATTTTAGAGTTATGCCGCTTGGGCTAGCAAACGCCCCGGGTGTATTTAGTCAGTTAATGTCCATTGTATTGAATGGCACTGAGGCATTTGCCATGGCGTATCTAGATGACATCATGCTGTTTTCAAAATCAGCGGAGGAGCATTTTGAACATCTGCAGAAGGTGTTCGATGGATTAAAGTTAAAATTATCAAAGTGCCAGTTTATAAAGAAGAGACAAAGTACTTAGGGTTTATCATAAACAAAGAAGGAATAAAAATGGATTTAGACAAAGTAGAGGTTATAAGAGCCATGTCCGCACCGAAGACCGTAAGAGAGATTAGGGGTTTTATTGGAGACATTGGATATTATCGGAGTTTCATACCAGCATTTAGTTGGCTAGAAAGCCCTCTAATAGCTCTAACTAAGAAGCATGCTAGGTTTAAGTGGACCAAGGATTGTCAGCGTGCATTCAAGGCCCTAAAGGATCAGCTGACAGCTGTACCCCTGTTGGCCTACCCAGACCTGAGTAAGCCCATAGTGCTGCACACTGATGCTAGCGATAAGTGCATTGGGGTGGTTCTTACACAACCATGTCCAGATTAAGGATGGACCAGTACCGGGTGTGCCTGAGAAAGTGCCGATCTATTTTCTGTCACATTGGCTCTCCAAGACTCAGCAAAGGTGGCCAGTAATAGAAAAAGAGGCATTCGCCATTCTGTATTATTTGAGTGGGGCTGTGTTTACCATTAAAACAGACCACAAACCCCTCAAATATTTGTGAGAGGCGGAGTGGACGAATAAGAAGATACAACAGTGGGAATTGAAGTGGGTATAACTGCAAAATAGAATATCTGACGTGTTATCGAGGATTCCAAGGCAATTAGAGACCGAATCTGTCAGGTTGGAGCTGGGTGTGGATGATAAGCATTCCAAATTAATGTGATCAATTCACAGGCGTTGAAAGGAGAGACTTGGTTGGGAAGATCAGGAAACGAGTGAAACGGAGATTGTTTCCGACCCCCACTAGAGAGATATTATTAGGCAAAGCCAATAGGATAACGAGATAGCAACTGTCAGGTCCACGGTAGAGGCAGGGCATACCTCCAAATATATGGGGCACGATGGTATTACCTTTCAGGGAGAGATAAAGTAAGTTTAAAAATGGTGATACCTGGGAAGTTGAGAGCTGAAATTCTAGACCAGTGCCATAGGAGGTTAGGACACCTGGGAATTGATAAGATGTATAGATTAATAATGAGAAATTACTACTGCCTTAGGTATCTCTGGGTCTGTAAGTCCAATTTATGTGATAGGTAGTCATAATCTGTGTACTAGATTTATTTGTGTGTGTGAAAGGAAGCCCACCATTACAATAAGAGTTATTCCCCCTTTGTTTTTCTGTAGAGCTACCCATTGGTTGTGGAGCTCATGGTCCATCTATCTCTTTACCTCCCTACTACCAAGCAGAAGAGAAGTTTGAAGGGAATGAGGCTTTGTTAGAACTAGTAGGAACAAATACCTGTGGATGGATGGGATTGTTGGAACCCATTGTAAGAGAGATTCCTAAGATGTCACTTGAAAAGATGCCGGTGTTGTTAAAGCCAATTGATAAGATTGATCTTGGACGGTTGAAGTTGGAGTTAGATAGGATAGGTAGTACACCGAATTCGGGCTGGAGAGAGAATTTGGTTGCTATAATAACCTGGCGGACCATTGTGGGAATTATACTAATGATAGTCATGGCAGAATAAACTGGCATGGGTGTGCATGAGTGAAGGAGGGATTCTAGTTAGTGCACTTTACCAAGGTCGGTCCGACCCGAGTACATTGGGACCCCTAACTAATATTGAAGATTTTCGTGGAAGGACCTGAACCAACAAAAGATTCGACACAGCCTGATGTGAAGGTGAGACAAAATCGGAAGGACAAACTTACAAAATAAATCAAATATTTTTTTTATTTTATTTTTAGTAATGAGACTGAAATAATTGGTAAGGAGTGTTGCGAACTCCCCCAAAAAATAAAAAAAAATAAAGGAAAGAACCCTCGAACTAGTGAAGTATGTGAAAAGGTTCTATTGCACAAGATCACCAAAACAGTGAACTTTAGGTTGGACTGGGTTTTCTCATATTTTGTTGATACGAAAGCTTGTGTGTCATTTACTAGTAAATGACAGACGGGTAGGGGAGGAAATGTGACAGAGAGAATCTGGGAAATACACACACACGTATATTTTTTTTTTAGTAAAATTGGAGTAGATTTGAATAGCGCAATTAAATCAGAGCATTTTGTTTACTGATGGGGAAATCTGATCTAGGGCAGAAGTTGTACCCATTGAATCTGGGTCATCAGTAAGACAATGGAAATGGTCGAATTAATATTTATCAAATAAAAATTGAAATAGAGATTAGTCAGCTTGAAGGAACTTTGGAATTCACATGATTTTGGTTGAAGCAGTCAGAACCCTGTGATAATCACGTGCGATGTTGTAGGCCTGAAGGTCAGTTATAACCAGCCTGGTTTATCTATATAAACGCGTAGTTATGCTGAAAAAGACAGATAGGAGAAAATTCTTGAAGAGAGAATTGGCCCGACTGAGCGTTGGGAGGAGGAACATCATTATAACTTTAAGGCCCGCACAGAAATCTTTATCCCTCCATCACAAGAGTCATATATCATTCTGAAACAATTTAACAAGATAATCACATACACTCTCTGTCTAGAATCTAGTGTATGAGTTTTTTGGAGTTTTTTTTACTTTTCTTTTCTGTAACCCGTTTCTTTTCTCTACTATTCTTTTCTGCTATATAAAAGACATTACCAATTCAACCATTGAATCAATGTTTGTCCGGCTTTCTGCAGGTATTCATTTTTTTTGCTGCATTCTAAATTTCTTAGCGCAAACTCCCCAGTCGTGTCTACATCTTCAGTCGACCGTGAATGAACGGACATCACTTCTGCTTTCTGGATCAAACAAATCACAACGTGGGCAGGAAGCAGGATTAAACCAGCGGACTGGTCAAATAATCTATGGATGCTCAGGGGACCTATGGCCACTCCCTTAAGTTCGGTGAAGACCGAGTAGACACCTCAACCCCGAGAGCAAGACGCCAGAGGTTGAGGGGCCGGGGCGAAAGTGTTAGATAAGGGAGGACATAAATAGCCCCCACTAACTATTATCCACCCTTATTTCTCATAGTGGAAAATATAAGAATGATACGTATGAAGAATCGCCAACTACATAGATAAATCTTGAGTAAATTGAAACAGCTGAATAGATCCAAAGGATCTGTGGACATCGCATTAAGGTGGTTTTTAGTACCAAAACCACTTTTTTGCAATTTCCTTACAAAAGTTAAGATCCTTTTCGGAAAAGGGTTTGACAAAAGATTGCATTTATGATATCTCCTGAAAATATGGAAAAGAATATAAGGGAGAAGTCAGTTGTCTCCTTAAAATGAAATCTTTATGAACATAAAGCTATATTCAAAGGAGGGGCAAAAACCTTTGGTATAAGGAAATATAACTGAAGAGTAAGCTTTACTCCCTCTGGGATAAAATCTAGATGGTTGATGATAAACACCACAGGAGAGAGAGAAAATTAAAAAAGCATCATACTACATGTGCCAACCAGTTTGCTCACTCCCAGGTAGTTACATGTGGTAGTGAATGATAGTGTACTAACTAAAACAAATTTTTTGTTTTGAGCAATGAAACTCATGTAAAGTTTTTGACAGCTTTTTGTAAAATTACAGTTGTTCAGGTTTTATTGCAATATTACAATCTATATATGACTACATTTATATGAGCACAAAATTAAAAAGAAACAGATTTTTAGTTACATTAGCTAAAACAGGTGTACTTCCACTGTTTCTGAACCTTGTAAATATAAAATGCTGCACAAGCATTTTTTGTCAACTTTTGATCTGCTATAAGTGCAGCCACTTTTGCATAGCAGGAGTTAAAAAAAATAAAAATGAAATTATGCATCTGTGATTTTATATCTCTTCAGACATTACTTTTTATGAATTTCATATAAAAAGTAACTAAATTTTTTTCTTGATTAATTCTAGTTCTTTACATAATAAAATGTTTGCACCTAATACAAAATCCTTTACTTCTATATTGTTCTTGAAATTCCTTTACTTTTGTATTAGCTTATGTTGAGTATTTTGGGTTTTTTTGTTTTTTATTGGTTGTACTGAAATATATGCTAATTTTGTTTGCAATAAACAGTAAAGTAGTGGCATTTCTTAAAGAATTACTGAAAAACAAAATTTAGCTTTTTCCTTTTTTTTAATCAATTCACTCCAAGCAAGGAGATAATACCACCAAGATACAAGGGGCTACTGAGAGTGAAAGAGAGTAAAACAAACTTTAGAAGAAACCAGAAACACAATCCTAAACAGCAAACAAGGAATAAACCTCTACTCCTGTTCAAAAGACCAGGAAGGATTTTGAACTAGACGGTAGGTGAACCTATCTCTCCGACTGAGAAAAAAATAAATAGTAAATAAAATTTCAGAATTTGGATGAAAATGTTAGGAGTATAGAGTTGAAGTAGACTTTAGAAGGAACAGATGGTTGCATGAAAATATTTTATTCTTCACATCCAATCATGATTTATGTCCTTAAATGTTTGTTAGCCTTTTATACATACCAGAAGGTTTTTATTCTTTCACACCTTTTTCTTTTACTCATTCTGAATTCAGTATTTAAATTAAAATCTAATATAAACATACATACTTCACAACTAATTGGTGACCATGCTTGTCAAACATTTTGAATAAGGTTTCATTACAACAGTATTTGCGTATCTTACTGGAATGACTTCATCGCAATGTTATATTTTCTGCCTACTTTCTTACAAATTATACAGTTAAAGAAAACTAGAATGGATTGACTGAAAAGTGATAACAAAATCAACAGCATAGAAACAATATTGTTCCTACTATTCTTATAGAAGAAATGAAAAAGGTAGTAGTATGTTTCCTAAATTCATTTCAGTATGCAATGATAAAAATGATTCTGTTCCAATGCCAGATCATCCTGCAAAACAATATGATTCAAAACTGAAATTGTCCTTACATTACAAAGACCATCCATGAGAGTCAGCAGAGTTGTAACAACACGTTTTTCTAATTCATTGTTACTATTCTGTCGATTTGGGCAGAGGGCATCCACATCATCCATTATTATGAGACTAGGAGACCTTAAGAAAAAAAGAAAACAATTAGCAAATGAGAATAAAGTCATTAAAGAAGAGAAAAGAATACAAACAATAAGAGTGAGGAAAACATCAGTTCTCTACATTTGCTCTTCATTTTGCCAGTTATGAAATGCTCACTTTTGGACAAAGAAAGCTATAATATTAAAATAGTCTAAAAAAAATTTCCATCCTTTCTAAATGAATACTTCAAATATACTTTTGTGTAAATTTTTGATAGTAATAGTACTTAGCAAAATAACATTTAAAGTAAAAAAAAATAGAAAATAATAACAAATGAGTTCTTCCAATCACATGATTATAAAAATGATAAAATCAAATGACAAGAGATTTTTTCTTTATGTAACTTTCATCTTTTCATCATTATTTCCCCCTTTGTTACATTTGTATTTATCTTGTTAGATTTTCTGATGATGCTTCTTGACAAATTTCTTCTGAAGAATTAAATGTAAGAAAGAAATTACTATTTTCTCAGAAAACTTGCATTGTATCTTAAATTTTAATATAAGTGTTGTATAGGAATAAAGTGTTGTTGCTGACACCATAGTTTGAACACAGATCACCAGGGAGCCAACATGGACGATTCCATTAATAAATAAGTAGATCACGTGATCATAAAGGAAACATATAAACGGAAATTAGTGTGGTGTCTATTCTCTATACTATGCACTATACTATTTCTCTATACTTATCATTATACAAATTACTATTTGGCGATTACTATTTAAACAAGTATTATTAGTGCAAGTATTATTTGTAGGTGTTACTACTACCACTATCTGCATTTACAAAGTGTCGTCTACAACGAGCATTTTGAACGTGATAATGAGCATTCGTTGACCTAACAAAAGTTAGAACAAGTGAGCATCTAACATCACAAAAATAAACTAGTACATTATCTATAAATTTTTAAAAATTTGTCAACATTCCAAATTTTGTTCACACAACCTTCACCTCCTTAATGTTAAGACAACATTTTGGCTGAACAATTTTTCAGTCTTTATCAGGTACATAAGAAAAGAATATAACTTACATATTTTTACTATTGTTCCCCCAATACATGGTTTAAGTGCTACTCAAGGTATAGGGTTACTGAATAGGGATGCTTATAGAGGGAGCAAGGTTTGCAGGTTATTGTGATGAAGTTGACATTCACTGTACCTGTGTTGACATCCAAGATCGGCTGTATTGCCATGGACACAGATTTGTCCTCTTGGCCATGATCATATTCAACAAAAATTAATGACAATTGTTTTTCAAGACCCTCTGGTTGGCCATCTGTTTTCCTTCAGCTGAACTGTTATCTCCATAACTGCTCCCTGGTCCCTTCCACGTCTCTGACTGTGAGTCTCTTCCTCACTGACTGCTGGACCGATTTCTCCTCGACTTCCTGCCTCTCACCGCCACCCCTATCCATGTTCCAGAACAAGAGAGACCACCTAAAAGCCAGATGGATGGTCAAATCTTCAAAAGATTCTGCTTTTATGATTATCTAAAATCATTAACAACATTTTATGTTTGCCAATTCAAAGGCAGCTGTAGACATAAATCCCCAAAAACACTGACACTCAAGTTGACTCAAAGATGGACTGAAGACAAATTTCCTGAAAGCTTTGGGTCCTTAAGCTGACTCAAAGGGAAAGGAATCTATCTACTTATCTCTTAATGATGTGTGAGAAATTGTATTGATACATTATGAGGATATGCAGGATAGAAAACGAGTGACCCTTAACTTGAAAATATGGAGGATATTTTATATTTTATGAGATGTCCTGTTGGATTATATGAATTTAATTTGACCATCTATACAATTCATGATGGAGAAAGAATACAACTTCCTTTTGGTTACCTTTCAATACAATAATAACTTCTTTTTGATTATTTCTAAGATGGGAAACAGGAAGAGAACCCAAGTGCAATCAGCTCTACAGGAAACATTTCATAAACAAGACATATGGTATAAGGTATCCAAAGAGTTTTTTTAATATTATAACATGTTCAATGAGGAAGTTCTAAAACTTATGTAATTACTTCTTTAAAAACATTGAACATTTTTCAAGAAATTACAAAATGAGGAAATATCATTGAACTAAAAGCTTTTATTCACACATCCGATGGTTGAGATTTTCTACTAAATTAGTGAATTTATATTCATCTTTACAATTTATTATCATTATGACAATGTAGAAAAATAAAAATTAAAATACCTTTCTTGAGCAGTTTTGAAAATATCTCTGAGATGAGATTCTGTTTCACCGTAAAATCTATAAAATAAAAAGTAGCAAATGGCAAACATCAACAAAATAACATTTTTCCTTCTTATTTAATCAACTAAATCATTCCAGAATTCTTCAGCATAAAAATGGTTACTGTCAGTTTGTATCTTAGATTTTACATGAAACAAATTCCATTCTATTGAAAAGTAGAATTTAATAATTATAAACAACATGCAATGAAATTCATAATTCAGATTTATATCAATAAAGAAAACTCATAATTTTACTTTAGCAAAGAAAATTTCATGAAACCTTTTACTGAGAGTAAGAGTACATATCCCAAACCGGCCTAGTCTACAGTGTGAAAATGGCTTAAAATAGTGAAATTTCCTTCAAGTTCAACTGGCAATATCTTGAATATTTTTAGAATTATTTTGATAAAATTAACATTTAAAGAAAATTTTAGTTTTTATTCCATGTCTCTTTAAATGAGGTCACGTTTCAGTGACAGGTGCTTCTTTCTCCACATTTTAAAATAAGAGGATTTTGTTTATGTTTTGAAATTTGTTACACTCCGAGTTGTGTGTTCCTCCTACACATATCAAAATAGTCCCATCTTAAAAAAAAAGAAACTTGTTAATTTGGTGGGCTTAAAATAAAATTTAAGGTTATTTTTCACAAAAAATTTATAGGGTGAAAACTACAGTGGTAAATTCAATTTTAATGGAAAAATGAAGGAAAATATGTTTACATAAAAAATGAAATAAAGTGTTGTAATTTCAAAATGTGTGTATGTGTATAGTTATAATCTATTTTTATAAATCTCACATTTGTGTATGTAAGATATTGTAATTTTAAAAACATCTATTAAAATTTTATATTTACTAATTAACTAATTTTTGGGATAAGCTGCTAATTTCACTGATTAAATTGAACATTTATTTAAGTAATGTTTAATTAGACTCAATATATTTTATAAAAAATAAAAGGATTTTCAGTTGAACCTCTATTGTGGGTCCATAAAAATTACATATATAATTTCTAAAATTAAACATTTTTTTTTTATTTTAAATGGATATTTCTTGGAAGATTTTTTTAATGTTAGCATTGGAAAATATTTTTTACTTTTCTACCAAATTTATTTTGAATAATTAAGTTTTGGTAATTATTAAATATTGCTTTTTTAACTTTGAAAGTAGGTTTTATTTTATGGTAATTGATTTACTTTGAAGCATATTTTTAAATTTTAATTAACAGTACATTCTAATACTTAATTCAACAATAACAATGCAAGAGCAAACATTGCCATTTGAAAAAAGAATGTAACTTTAAAATTTTCAATTCATTTATTTTGATGTAAATTTTTGATTGTTGTATTTTTTCTGTATAAAGCAAAAGCCTAAACTTATAAAATTTAATACATTCATTTTTTTTTTGTAAAAAAGAATTATTTTATTTCTGCTTTTCCCATTATTGCAGGTCAGTTATTTTTTTTCTTGCTTTCCATTCCTGGAGATTATTTTAGGTTTTTAAATTTACATGTACTTATGATGAATATTTAAAAATCTTCTGTTCAATGGATGATCAACTAAACATCCTGAGAGATTGTTTTCTTGTACTTACAAGTGAAAAAAGTGAAAAAAGAGGCACAAGCCAAAGAAGACCCCAAAGTCCTTGCAATGTACAAAAAGGTTGTTGATGCAATTAAAAACAGTGTGTGATGAAAAAAAAAACGTGATAATCAGTGTTGGGTGTTGAGCGGGGATGTGCTTAATGGTATAGCAGTACCACCCAGTAATCTGGTGAGGTCTCATCTATTTTATAGCACAATTTCTGTAACTTTTATGGTTTGAAGAACCAAAAGGGAAGCACTTAAATAGGCAAAGAGCTCACAGGTTTAGAGGATGATCTAACAAAAAAAAAAAAAAAATTTGCTTTGCAAAATCTCTGTTAAGGAGGACTCTTCTTTTTTTCCCCTATTTCTTTTGTGATACAAGAATTGTACTTTTTTTTTACTTGCAGGTTTTTGCATAGTTCTGCAAACTATCCTAATACAAGGATGAAATAGTCAAGATTGATGAAGCAAGTTCAACAAACATTTAACACAGCCAAGAAAATTTGTCACTAAAGGAGATGACTTAAGAGCCTTTTTAGATTCTTCCCATAATGCTTTTTGTAGCTGACTTACTGCCATTGAAATTACATCACAGGAACTTAAAGACCCTGTGACTAACTCTGGTAGCTGTGATGAAAAAGAATTATATCAAGTGATCTTCAGATAAGAGAGACAAGGCCAATGGGTTGCCATATACTATGATTCCAGTTTCTACATTGGCCAAGTCATTGACATTACATCTTCAATATAACCAAGTTTCTAGCTCCAACTAAAGATAGAAACTATTATTTCCAATGGCCTTTGGGGGGTGACATTGCACAGGTCGAGTCAACTTTTGTCTTAAGATGGGACTTAGGTGTAATGCCAGTTTCAAGTGATGGTATAGGATGGATGGATGGATGTTGGATTTAACGGCATGTCAACTCCTATTTGGGTCAATTTATGCCGAAGCCTTATTAATTTATGAATTTAAGATGGTTATTTTGTATAAAAGGTTGAAAGGCTGTTCGGTTTCATAATCTTCTGTATTTTTTGGGATTGCTTTTTCTTGTGACTGTTTTTGATTGTGTTTTTTAATATTTACATTCATACATGCATATATATGTCTATAAACACATATACACATACATATACACTATTTGAAAGGGTTATATTTTATTGAGGATCTTTATTTCCTTGAGAAAACTATATTTTTTCTGTGTCTGTATTTTTGAAAATTTCTTTTAAACCTTTTCCATTGAGATACTTTTGTCTTATTCTAGTTATGATTTTGCATTCCAATAGAATATGTTTTATTGTGATTAGGCTTCCACATCTACATTTTGGTGGATTTGTCTTTTTAATATATAAGAATGGGTTAAATATGTGTCCTATATGTGTTCTGGTTATGAAGACTTGTTTTTTCGAGTATTTCAAGATTATTTCCCCATTTTCCTATTTTAGGTTTAATTTGAAATAGTTTATTTCGGTTTGGTTTTTCCATGAATTTTGCCATTTGTTTCTTATGTATTTATTTATTTTAGATTTTAAGTCTGTATATGGAATTTGAAGATTTTCATCAATTGTCATTTTTAAAGATGATTTAGCAGCAGTATCTGCCTTATCTCCTCCTTGGATGCCGACATGGCTAGGAATCCAGCAGAAGATGATATTTTGCTTTTTTTCCATTGAATGTAGTTTATATAGAAGACTTTGTATTAATGGATTTTTCCAGTCTTTTCCTTTTAGGGATGTTAATACAGATAATGAATCTGAGAAAATAATATAGTTTTTCTCCTTTGTTTTTTGATATGAAATTTAGTGCTAGTTTTATTGCATAGGCTTCTGCACTGAAAATTGATGCTTCATTTGGCAAGTGTTTTTTGATAATTGTTTTTTTTGTTATTGCTGCGCTGCCTGTTTTTTCTTCATCTTTTGAGCCGTCCGTGTAAATACTTTCGTATTTTTGATATTTTTCTTTTATTTTTGAGAATTTTTCAATGTATGTTGTGGGATGTGTTTTTGATTTTGATAATTTGTTTAAACTTAATATTATGTTTGGATTTTTGATTATCCATAGTGGTATGTTTGATTGGTTGGTTTTAAGTATTTGATTAGACTGTATATTATTTTCTTGGATGATTCCTTCCATTCGGAGTCCCAATGTTTTGATTTTATTTGTGTTAAGATTAAATTTCTCTTTGTGATTTGGTGTAAGTACACAATCGTGCGTGGGGTTAGAAGGACAGGAAGAGAGTTTTAGATAGTACTGAGTTGCTAGTTTCTCCATTCTTAGTTGTAATGGGGGTTCATTTGCCTCTACATGTAGACTCTCTATAGGTGAGGTGGGATAGGCTCCTAGAGCTATTCGAAGGCCTTCATGGTGTATTGTGTTTATTGCTTTTAGATAAGACTTTCTAGTTGATTGGTAGACCATGCTGCCATAGTCCAGTTTGGAGCGGATCAACGTTCTATAAAGTTTAAGAAGGGTTTCTTTGCTAGATCCCCATTCTGTATGGGCTACTGTTCCCAGTAGTTGGAGAGCTTTAAAACATTTTGTTTTTAGGTAATTGATATGTGGTCTGAAGGTCAGTTTGCTGTCAAAGATCATTCCTAGAAACTTATATTGCTGAACTACTGGTATTTCTTCATTTCCTAGTTTTAGAGTTGGGTTATTGTGTAATTTTTTCATTTGGCAGAAGTGTACAGATTTTGTTTTTGTTTTTGATATTTTAAAACCATTTTCGAGTGATCATTTGTTTATTTGATGTAAACATTGTTGAAGTTGTCTTTCTGCTGTGTTGAGGTTTCTCAATCTGTAATATATTGTAAAATCATCAACATAAAGGCTACAGTGTATTCCTGATTTGATGTTTTTTTATTATGTCATTTATTTTTATTTTGAAAAGTGTAGGGGAGAGTACACTTCCCTGTGGTACTCCCTCTTCTTGCTTTTTGATAATCAGAACGTGTAGCATCTATTTGTACTTGGAAGAGTCTATCTGTTAAAAATCCTTTTACAAAGTTTGGTAGTCAACCTCTTAATCCTAGTTTATGCAGACCTTTCATTATACCATGTTTCCAGGTTTGATCAAATGCTTTTTCTATATCAAAGAATATGGCTATTAGATGTTGTTTGTTTAAATTGGCCTCTCTTATGGCTGTTTCTAGTCTTATTATGTGATCTATTGTACTTCTTCCTTTATTATATCCACATTGATATTTTGATATGTGTTTTCCTTCTTCTAGAAACCAACTCAATCTGACGTTGACCATTCGCTCCATTGTCTTACATAGACAGCTTGTTAATGCTATTGGTCGGTAACTTTGTGGATTGTTTCCCTCTTTTCCTTCTTTGAGTATGGGAATAATTACCGATTCTCTCCATATTTTGGGAAATTTACCAGTAGTCCAAATATTGTTAAAAATATTCAAAAGGTATTTCAGCGATTCT